GCTCGAGCGGGGCACGAGGAGGGAGCCAACGCCTGGGCGGCAGCCTGAGAGGGCAGGATTCCCTTCCCGTGGCAGGCTGCCAGCGGCGTCACTGCCTGCCGAATCTCTGGACGCCAAGAGCAGAGGGGAAGGCAAAGCAGCAGCAGCAGCAGCTGGGGCTGACCTCCCTCACCCCAGAGCTCTCACCCCAGAGCTCGCACCCCCGGCCCCGTTTCCCCGCCCGCGGGCACCGTGTGTGGCAAAGGCTCCGAGCCCGCCGCTCCGAAGGCGCGGGAAGTACGTGCTCGTGGCCAGGGCTCCTGCAGCACCCCGGGGAGCCGCCCTCACCTGGTCGCAGTTTCTTTGTGACTGCAGGTGTGTCTGAAGGCGGCGGAGCAGAGGGACGCCGTTGCGGGACTGTCTCTTCAGAGTCCAGTAGCTGTGCAGCCTCTGCATGAACTGGCTCTTCCTCTGGATGGTTAAACGGTTTGTAATCTTACTGAGCCTGAAGAAGGGAGAGGAACCAAAGACCCCATCAATAAGGCAAGCCTGGCCATGCCAGAAGGCCGTGGCTGAGGAGGACACAGCTGCAAGGCCACCCAAGAGCAGCTGAGAAGCTCCTTGGGCAGAGAACACCCTTTCCCATGGCAGGAATTTCTGCAGTCATGCAGGGCAGCTGCAACGGAGAATGCCAGGAAACATCCAGCCTTGCCTTTCCAAGATGGACTTTTCCTTTCTACCTCCTGCCAAATTTTGGGCAAAAGTCTGGGGCAAGCTGCACCAGGCTGGGGTACAACACACCTTCCTTCATTAGGGGCCAGACCTTTAACAGCTCCCACAGTCCCCGAGACAGAGAGCATTACAGCACTGCTGTCCCAAAACCGTTATCTACCCAGCTGAGGACCACTCGGTGACAAAGGCCCTGGCCAAATGTCACCAGGCAAACTGGAGCCCTGGGAAGCCCATAACTTGGCCAAACGTGGCAAGGCATGAGGAGGGAAGAGGAGGCACAAGTACAAGAGAGCTCCTATCCCAGCTAACAAGGGGCTACCATGAACAGCCCAAAACACCACAAAAAAGATTTTCCTACTCTCTACAACACCAGAAAGCCTGGAGGGGCTGGGACAGCCCCACTCAGCTCGGCTGGACGGAGATGCCGTGCTGGCAGGGAGCTGAAGGGATGAAGCCCTGCCATGGCCACAGCTCACAAGGACAGCTCTTCACAGGGGATGAGCCGACCTGTAGCAGCCTCGCCTGGAGAGCCTAGGGGGAGCGGCCTCGTGTGCTGCTGTTGGCTCCCACAGGAAGGCATTTGGCATTCTGGCAGCAGCCCTTGAAGAATAATTAATCCCAACAGGAAGGCCTGGGGAGAGGTTAACAGCTTCTAGCTCAGTGTGAGTTTCACTGTGAGCACAACGATAGCAGCAAGAGCCTACAAACCACCTGTCAATGCATCCACATGGAAGGGAAGAGGCTCCGGCCATATAGCAAGCCCCAAATGAGCAAAAACATACGGTTAGGACACAAAAAGCCTGTGGCAAAAAGCCAGGAGCCTCGTGGCAGAGACCTGCCTCCACAAGTCACCAGAATGCTGCCCAGAAAGCAAAGCCCAGGGCTTCAGCATGCTCCTCTCCACCCACGCAGGAGAAGAGGACGCGGCGGTGCCCGGCCCCTGCGCTGCCACAGCTGCACTGTGTATGGCACTGGGGCGCCACCGCTCCCAGCCCTGGCACAGCTCCCGCCACAGGCAGGAGCAGGATTGCTCAGCAGCTCTGGAGTGATGGTTCACAACCATGGAGCAAACGCTTCCGTGCCCAGTCCGTGCTTCCAGTGCGTGACGCCTACTGATGACAGCCAAGTTCCAAACCTGCCCGAAGGTGCTTCTACTCTCTCCTGCACACTGCCAAGGACACCCCGAGTTATAAACGACACTGACAAATTCTGGTGAGGCTCTCAGATGCTCTTTCTTTGGGATTTGCATGACAGTGCAAGGATCAGATCAGAGCAAGATCCATGGTAGCAGTTACATCTGTAATTTCCCATAAACCCTCTGGGTTGGGAGGTGGCAGAAACACAGCCAGGGCTAGGCCTTGGGTACAACCCAAAAGCAGGGGCACTGCCCTTGCACTGTGAAGCCAACCTCCCAACAGTTGTGCTTCCAGGCAGGCAGGAGTCTCGGTTCCCTCCGGCCACCACTGGCAGGCAGCTGTGCCGAGGCTCCACCAGGCAGCACCAGCGTGGAACCACTGCCTGCAGTGGGCACAAAACGCTGAGGAAGCCCAGTACGGGGTGAGCGGCTGCTGGGAAGGATGAGCTGTGCTCAGCAAGGCACAGGGATCCCCAAAATCAAACCTCTCTGCTCCAGACCCGAACCAGCTCCCAGGGTTTGCTCACTTCCTACACCTGGATCACTCCCACACTGACCTCTTTTCCCCAGGAGAAAACAAACCTCGTCAGAAAGGGGAGCAGCCCCCTCCTCCCTCTCTGGGTTACACCAGTGCCTGAGGTCAGCACAACAGGAAGAGAACCCTGGGAACCCCCAGCTGCTTCCTGACGCACCCGGCCAAGTTCACTCTCCGCCGT